AGTTCTAAATCATTCTCTCAACTGACCGACATCTTATTTATGGTGTTTCGTCTCCACTTCGTTAACCATATTAGGTGCTAAAGGACGAAAGGGGAAAGACGTCGAAACGTTGAATAAAACTATAACCAGTGATAGTTGTTAGACTGTGTCGTACGTACAATTGCCATTTAAATTCCATGTATATCTTTTATTCATTAACCTTTTGCTGATCTAAAAGTATCTTAGGGACAAATCTAACAGCTTATGGTTTATTTTAATACATGTATTGCAGAACACACATAGAACATCTCGTTTTAATCTGTGGTATGAACAAAAAAAATCAGAACTTTCTTCCATCAAAGCCAAAAATCATAGAATTTTAATATTTCAGAGGGCCATGACATGATCAGGAGTTATGTACAAATTCATGTTCTGAAAGACGGAAAGATGAGTTTAAAATTGTTTTTCCTAGTTGAGTAATCAAACCGGTTCATGATGATCAATAAATCAACATGTTGTGCAGAGCACCACAGTTTCCAGATTTGAGTTTTAAATTGTTCTTTTGATAAACATGACATATATACTTGCATCTGATTTCTTTCTTGAAAGCTCCATTTTCTTTTTTGATTAGGCCATGATTGATTTTTCATACTGGAGAAGAGTTATACTTTATGGTCAATGATTTCTAATAAGAATATAGATTATAGTTATTGTTAACTTCTTTTGTTCCCACGGAAGGGCCTATACATCTATATTTTCTGCTACTTTGGGGCGATTATGATTCATTGCGTTGATTATAATCCATTTCTTTCAACTTCGTTTAAAGTCAAAAGCTTTATGTAGTTGGATGTTACTCCTATGACCGTTAATAATTCAATATCTATAATAGTTTTTTGATCTTTAATCTTAGTACTTGTTCGGAACTAATCCCATGTTATGGCACTTTTTATGTTTCTTTCTATTCATTTCAAACACGGCATGATGTTGGACTGGAGCTTACTGACTCTTCATCGTAAATATGGCATGGGGTGAAAGGGGGAGAGAAATATTTGGAAGCTATTGGTACAAAAAGAAATATCTTCTAGTTTCATTGAAATATCGGTTGAATATTTACTGACCTCATTTGATGCCACCCATTTTTCCCATTCATTTTGTTTTTATGTGAAGGTACTCTAAGCATTGTATTTCAAAGATTGTCTTCCATCAATAAACTCTCACATTGTGTCTACGGAGATTGTGAATGAATGCGTTGCGTTTCAAGAAAAACGCATTAAGAATGATCTTTTGAATGATAGTAGTATCTAGGTAGCCTTGCATCAGGAAATATAGTGAGAATATCTTTTCACATTGTAAAGCATTAAAATGCCATAAGAACATTATCGTAAGAGTGAAATACTCTAGAGTCAAAAAGTGTCCTTTTGATAATCATTTTTTATATGACGATTACTTAGACCAAGGTCATTTCGACAATACCACTAATGACCCGCATTCACTAACAATCCAACAAAACGTAATAAAAAATGCGCAGGAAGAAATCAGTGAAGTTTTATTAATGATATAAAATGAATATATAATCTATAATAGAAAATAATAATGATTATATTTTAGTATAAAAATAGAATTGTCATATATAAAATTCTAATTAATTTCAATCAAGTGCATGATTAATTTTCCTTTAAGTGTTGTCATATTTATTGATTATTTTGCTGAACACCATAGGTGCATGTTCGGATTAAAAAAGAAAAAAATATAACAAATAACATAACAATTCAGAATTCTTCCAAATTAATATTAAGTACAGAGTTAACATGTTAAGATTAAAACATTATAAGCTGTACCATGTTCTAAGACATGTTAATTGTTCGCGTACTTGAATTTTGCTAATCAGTAGAAACGATTCTGGAAGAAAAAAGTTAACAAGTAAATCTGTAATGAATATTGATCAGAAAAGACAGCCCAATACAAGCCAACTAAAAATTGAGGCTTAAGCACTGGGAACGATCCTATTGCCAACGGATTATAAGCTAATGAACAGTTAGTGGAGTGGCACCTCAACTCAAAACCTCTCTCAAATAGGGCCCAATATATCTTTTTCAAACCTTCATAATGTCAAGTTATTACAAACTTTGTCTCACAAACTTCAGACTTTCTGTCGAGATTTCTGTGTTCGCCGCATTTACAAACTTCCGTGATAAAATAAGAGTGACTATTGCAGTCAAGGTATAGAGTTCGTTGCAGTCAAGATATTAAGTTCGTCATAGCATTACATTGTGAAAGTGATTGCCAGAGCTTTGGGGTTTTTTTTGTTAAGAACAGAACTGCAATAATATTAGTTAATAATTGCAGCAGCTGCACAGTACTGCTCATTCCACAGCATAGTTTAAGTGTGCTTTCTTAGAATCCTAAACTGGTCAAGAACATATATATACAGATATAATTATATGTTATATGAAGCTCCGATTCTAGTATCTCCAAAAACCCTCCTAATTAACCTGTAATGCAATTATTGCAGTGCCCATGCTCAACCTTATGGTGCACCTGATACCAGTGGATTTATCATCTAGATGCCTTTTAGTCTTCATGGCTTAATCGGTACGGGACTACTGACAGAACTAAAATCTTATTAGCTAATAATTACAGCTCTCTGTAACAGCTGCACAATACTGTATATTCTCACAGGAATGC